TACAAGAACTCTGAAAACAAATTGTCATTGGAACTATAGCTCACAAAAGTAGACTAGGACCTACATGTTAAGCCCAACTTTGGTGACTTTTGGTGACTACCTACTAAAGATGAAAGATTTATATAGGATCAAGAGTCTACTAAAATAATATCCAAAATGTCCAGGGCACAAGTAGAAATCACTCGTCATACCAAGAACCAGGAAAAACACAACTTGAATGAGAAAATACAGTCAACTGATGTCAACTTAGAGGTGAATCGTGTGTTGGAATTATCTGAAAAGGATTTTAAGCAGCCATCATGAAAATGTTTAAACAAACAATTTTCCTGAAACAAATGAAAAAAATCTACAATCCAGAAAAGAAATACAAGTTATAAAAAAAGAAGCTAATACAAAAAATAGAATTTAAGTAGACAATAACCAACAAAAAACGCATCAGATAGGCTTAATAGTAGAATGGAGATGACAGAAGATAGAATCAGTGAACTTAAGAACAGATCAATAGAATATTTACTTGCACAACAAGTTAAAAATAGACTGAAAATATTTAACAGAGCTTCAGTGGCTCTGTAGAATAAAGACAAAATACAACATTTGTATCATCAGAGTCTCAGAAGAACAGAAAAAAGACTGTGGGCTGAAAAAATATTTTTTTAAAAATGGCTGAAAACTTCCCAAGTTTGGTGAAATGCATAATCCTACAGATTTAAGGAGCCAAGTGAACCTAAATAAGATCAACTCAAAGAAATCCAAAACTTCTAAAAACTAAAACCAAAGAAAAATCTTAAAAATAGCCAGAGAGAAATGATGTATTTGAAGATGACATAGTGGTCTATGCAGAGAATTCCAAGGAATTAAAAACAAAACAAAACAAAAAAAACCACCATCACCCAGAACTAATAAATGAATTAAGCATGATTGCAGGGTTTAATATTAACACATAATAATTAATTATATTTCTATATAATAACAATTGTAGAAACCAAAATTTAATAATACAGTACCACTTCAGTTGCTCTGAAGAAAATGAAATTCTTAGGTATAAATTTAACAAATTAAGTACAGAATCTATATGTTGAAAATTACAAAATTTTGATGAAAGAAACCAAGGGAGAACTAAATAATTGTAGAAGTTTTCCATATTCAAGGATTGAAAGACTCAGCACAGTAAGAATGTCACTGCTCCTCAAATTAAATTACATGTTTAACAGGATTCCTGTCAAAATCCCAGCAAGGCTTTTGTAGACACAGACAGCTCATTCTAAAATTTATATGGAAAGTAAAAGGCCCAAGGACAGCCAAAACAATTTTGAAAAAGAACCCTAAAGTGAGAGGAATGCTCTACTTGGTGTATAGCTTATTATGTAACTTACTATATAGTAATTAAGACAATGTGATATTGTCAGAAGACTAGACACATCAAGAGAATGGGGAAGAGAATGGAATAAAATGGAGAACCCAGAGATAGAATCACACAAATATACTCAGTTGATTTTTGATAAAGATGCAAAACCAATTCAATAAAAGAGGGATAGACTTTTAAACAAATAATGATAAAGCAATTGGACATACATAGGCAAAAAAAAAAATTAATTTTGCCTTAAACCTGACACATCATACAGAAATTAACTCAAATTAGATTAAAGACTTAAATGTAAAGTGTAAAATTATAAATCTTTTTGAAAAAATACAGGAGAAAATCTTTAGGAGCTTGGGCCAAGCAAAAAGTTCTTACACTTGTACTAAAGGCAAAGTCCATAATAGGAAAAATTGATAAATTGGATTTTATCAAAAGTAAACACTTTTGGTCTGTGAAAGAGAATGAAATGAAAATTTACAGAGTAGAGAAAATATTTGTAAACTATATATCTGATAAAGGACTTGTATCTGAAATACATAAAGAACTCACAACGCTCAACAATAAAAAAAATCCAATTAGAAAATAGGCAAAAGACATGACTAGGTATGTCACTGAAAAGGATATACAGATGACAAAATGAAAAAATGTTCAACACCATTAGCCATTAGGCAAATGAAAATTAAACCACGATGAGATATCACTACCTATTATCACAGCAGTCCCTAACATTTTTGGCACCAGGGACTGGTTTCACAGAAGACACATTTTCCATGGAAGGGGGATGGGGGGGTTGGGAGGAGAAGGATGTCAGGCGGTGATGCAAGCAATGGGGAGCAGCTGTAAATGCAGATGAAGCTTCACTTTCTCTCACTTGCCCACTACTCACCTCCTGCTAGACAGTCCTAATAGGCCGCAGACCGGTACTGGTCCTGGCCCAGGGGTTTGGGACCACAGCACTATCAGAATTAATGAAATAAAAAATAGTAATAACACCAAATGCTGGCAAGGATGTAGAGAAACTTCATTACCCATACACTGCTGGTGGTAATATAAAATGTTACCATCACTCTGGAAAATAGTTTGGCGGTTTCTTTTAAAAATAAAAACTTACCATAAAACCCAGAAATTGCACTCTCACACATTTATCCCAGACAAATGAAAATGTATGTTCATGCAGAAAATTGTACACATATGTTCATATTATCTTTCTTTGTAATAGCCAAAAACTAGAAACTACCCAGATGTCCTCCAATGGATGAATGGACGAATGGTTAAGCACATTGTGGTACATCTATCTACACAGAGCTACTCAGTAACAAAAAGGAACCAACTATTGATAAATGCTTAAAAATGGGAGTGGGAGGCAATAACTCAAAGTCCCCTTAGAGTATCTGTAAGAATTAAGACTTTTTTTACTCTTTGATAGTTGAAGAATTTTCTAAAGAAAATCAAAAAAGTTACACTTAGTAAGAATTAAAATCCCTGGCATAATATAAATTAATAATAAAGTAAAATAATTATAGTCCTTTGCCAGTATATGGTTATACCAAAAGTTACCCGTAAACATTTGTTGATTCCAATTCATATTTTTGATTGTTTATAAATTACTAGGTCAAATTATTACCAAAAAAGTAGGGGTGGTCTCAAGACCTAACCCTCAAGAGTTCCACTAAAAATAGACAGTTAAAAACTAAATGTTCTACTTCATTTAACAGTATGTACGAAGGCTAATTTCTTAGTTTTGTAAATGTTTTATGGTAATGTAAAATTTTAACATAAGGAAAACATTAATATAGGATACAAGAATTGTTGTAAAACTGTCTGTACAACTCTTCTGTAAATCTAAAATTTATCTCAAAATAAGATGTTAAAAAGAAAGCTCAACTTCTTAGGAAATGACTTCCTTCAAACAAGTAAATGTGGTAGGCAAGAAAATAGCCTTTTAGGTTTCTCATGTTGAGTTTAGTTACCAAGTTCATCATACACCTAGCTGTGACTGGTTTGCTACAGTAAGTTCTCTGAATGTTAAGAAAGACAAAGCATCTTTCTAGAGAAATGATTCAATAAAATTAAATATTTTTATTAACTTTTTGACAAATTGATAGTAAAACATATTCTACCTAACTATAACTGTGTCCCTTTATGGATAAATCTAAGATAAATATCATTCAGATTTTTACCTGGACAACAAATTCAAAGACTCTTAGGAATAAAAAACAAAATAAGATGGTTACTAATGTAACCAAACTAAATACGCAAGCTGTATATAATAAGAAATCAGTGCTTTGTAACTGAATCTGAGGTACAATAATCATGCTTAAATAATAGTTAATTACATATAAACAGATTAAAGATATTGTTTAAGGCGTAACAGCTCAAGAAGAAGCATTAAAAAAAGATATATTAATTATTTACCTTTAATCAAATTCAACTTCTGCCCTCCTCAAATAAACAAGATTTGTCTCTAAGATGAAACCAGGTTCCTAAATCATAAAAGATATTTTAAAAATACATCTGAGTATAGAGATTTTGCATTCTATTTGGTACAATTTTTGCTGCCAAAAATTTGTAAATGCATTTAATGTCATGAAAGTCTGGTGCCAGATTTTGTCTTTATTTATAATAGAGCTTAACCTTTTAATATTTAAACTACTCTGTCATTTGCTAAGGGTAGTAGAATGATATATACATTTATAACTAGCACTTCTGAAATTTTCTTTAGAGAATTGCCTTAATACCAAGGGAAAAAAGAAAAGGAGTTGAGAATATCATCAATCATCAGGGGGGTTGAGAATAACACCCTTTTTCATTTTTATTTGTATAGCTAATTAATTCCCAAATTATTAAGTTCTGTCAGAATTTGGCCTTCATAACATGGTCTTAATTTTTTTTGATTCTACCTGCCTCAAAAGTACTTATCAAAGGATAATCAGATTCAGCATAAACAATTATTCTATGTATGATTTAATAATAAAATACAATATATAATCAACATTGTATCACTAAAATTGTGAAGCTCTTTATGAAAACTAATGAAAAAATCCAAAAGGAATTAAGCTGTTTTATTAACATGTAGTAGACAGCTGTCATAAAGTTTGTATATTTAGTTTTCATCCCTAATGTTATTCCACAAACCTTTAAGTCTATAATTTATAGATATAGTCCTCAGGGAGCTGAGATATATATAATTTCTTTTATATGGATCTAACATTTTTAAGAGGATTTAATCTGTAAATCAGGTAACATTTTCATATACCATACAAAGACATTTAAAATCAGAAAGATTTTTAACATTATGTTACTCTTATAAAATGGTGACTTTTAACAAATTCGATGCCCCTGTACTTGTATTTATGTTTCCTATACTCTTAAATCATAATATTGGCAAGTAATTCAAGTTTTGATGTAATTTTAAATTCAATTCGTTGGTAAACAAATTCTCATTTGTTAATCAATCCGTACATTTCCCTTACTTACTATATACTACCTTAGAATTAATCCTCAAAAAAGTAATCATGCCACATGGAAAAAACAATACAGAGCTTTCTCTTCCTTATTTTCAAGTATTATGGGAACACAAATCCATGAAAAAACTGATTAAAAATTTGACATTCCATCTTGCTTTACTAATTATGGGATAATAGAGATGTGAAAAAAATGGTTCTTAATATTTCTCTGCTTAATATAGTATTATACTAAGAAATTCTGCAATATGTTTATGAGCTATTTTCCAGCTTCCTCAAGTACAGGACAAACCATGGTTCTATCAGTGAGGAGATATGAATAATCAATCTTACATAACTCAAAAGGAAGATAGGAAGCACAAAAAAATAAACCGACTTTGGTTTTTAAAAACCTCATCTTGACCCTGAAATGCCAGATTTAGCAACAACACAAGAACAAAACAAGATTATAGCAGCAAGCCACCACTTCATCACACATTAAGAATGTTGAAATAGCTAAAAGCTTCCCCCCTCTCTTTCCCACTCAATCTGTTATATCTTCTTTTTGTTTTTCCTGCTTTTTGTTTGCAGGCAGTTCAAGGCTTGCCCATTGCATAGGTTCAGCTTTTCTCATGGTAATCTCAATCTTCGTTGCAGTCTTGTTACATAACTTCTCTTTACATCAATCACACCCTATAATTTCACATTTTGATGAAATTCCTTCTCTCTTTCAAATACAATGTGCACATTTAACAATGTACTATTTGCTTCTACTAGACTAAGTTCTGGAAGTGAATTTTTAGCATATACTGAAATGGTGACTTCACCTCCAGTCTGATGCCAGTCATGCCTACATGGAACAACTTTTTTCCCAGCATCCTTTTTAGTCAACATGTGTTTCCCTGTTGTACAACCCTCTTGGGCTAAGAATGTATTAAAATCTGAAGTTTTTCTTCTACAACAGCTCCAGTATTTCATCCCCTCATGGAAAATAGGTACTCCAGAATGATATATACAGACTTCTTCTAGACTCTGTAGATGCTGATATGTCTTTGAACACCCTCCATTTTTACATGAGGTCCCAATCTTAATTTCGTCATTATCTTCCTCTTTCTTATCTTCTTCCCTGATGACAGTTTAAGTTTATCAAGTGCTTATTTTAGGGAGGCAGATATTTTTAATTCCAAATTTGTCATTGGTTCATCTGGGCTGGGCCTTTTTATTGCTTCTACCGGTTTGGGGGCTTGAATGAGGTGCTCCTGAAATTTAGGTTTCAATTCAGATAGTTCTTTCTTCTCAGAAGTCTTGACTTCAGGTTTGACTGCCTTAGGTGGCTTCTCACTGTTATGTCTACCTTTTGTACAGCCTACAATGCTTAAGAAATCAGTAAAATCAGTTGTTCTTCTCTTACAGCAAGACCAACCCTTTAATGCATCATGCAAGACTGGAACACCTGGGTGGTATGTGCAAGCATCTTCGGAATTGGTCTCGGGATCGAAGCGCTGACCGCAGCCCCGGTTGTAGCACAGCAAGGCCATTTTCCTTTCCCACCGTTACAGACATGCAAGGCCCAGACTGGGGGAAACGCAACCCAGCGCGTCCACCACTGCCCTGTCTCAAGCACTGGTCTGAGGGCTGAGGTAGCTGCCGGCTTCCGGACATAATAATATTTTTTAAAAATACAAAAAGCAGTTATTCTTTAGCAGTCAGAATGTTTGCATGATTCTTTGTTTAAATAATCCACAATTAGACCATCCATAAATTTAATGAGATTGGTCTGCCAAATGTCAATTCATAAACTGAAGTTACATAGATTAAAACTTCTTATTCACAAGGTATAAATAAAGCAAGAGAATTTAACATTCACATTTTGCTCTCAAGAGTGATTTTATCTTTCACCCTGACCATCCTACCAAAGTGGTAGAATCTGTAAACTGGCAAACCTAAAATTTTTGGAGCACCCTGGGCTTGGAATCCCTGCAAAGGTCACCTAAGTTCAATTTTTCCTTAAATAGAACCATAAAAATAATGATAGTTATAATGTATTGAGCGCTGAACTACTCAACTATTCAGCAGTCCCCAACTTTTTTGGCACCAGGGACCAGTTTCATTGAAGAAAATTTTTCTCTAAGAGACAGGGGACAGGATGCACAGTTATGCTTTTTAAGCCTTTGGAAATGCATTTGGGCGCAATAAGAGAAAAAATTGGGCAGTAGAATAGATACTCAGAATATATGCCCAAGGTCAATTTGTTCAAAAAGAAAAATGTTTTTAAAAATTAAAAAAAAATTATTAAAAGAACCAATATAGATATTCAGTTGGATGTAAGTATTTATTGAATGCTTATCTTGGGCTCCTGTAGTATGAATGACCAACTGAAGCTCTGAGTTTGCCAAGGAGCCTGTGGCTTTGGGACTTGTCACAAGAGTACCACCCGTACTATGCCAACACTGTCACTACCGGTGCTGTTTGCTGTGGTTCATTCAGATAACACGTATGTATTAGGCACTGTGCTAACACTCTACAAATGTCATCTCGTTTAATCATCACAAGAGCTTTGTGAGATGGCATTATCATCCAGATTTTAAAGATAAGGAAACTGAGGAGGGATATCTAGATACTTTCCAAGATCAGGCAACTAGAAAATGGCAGAGCCCAGATTGGAATCCAGCCCATCTGACTTCAGAATTCACACTTTTAACCACAAGTCCATGCGTCCTCCCTAAAACCTGTTTTAGAATAAATCCTCCTTTTTGCTGTTCTTTTCTCAGAGTCCCAGCTGCCTTCCACTGGGTCTCAGGGCTCTGGGCAGTTCCCTTGATTGGATATTTTCTCTGCTCTACCCGCTGCCCCTAACAACTTCCATGTGGAGGATGGGGCAGGGCCAGGAAAGCAGGCAAGGTGGATCTTCAGCAGAACTTGTGAGAAGAGAGTTAGGTAGACAGGTGATGAAGACAGATCATGAGGTGTGTGTGTGTGTGTGTGTGTGTGTGTGTGTGTGTGTGTGTGTGTGTAAGAGACTTTTTTCACTGATCTTGTTATAATGGAAAAACTTGTTATAATGGAAAAACTAGACTCAAAATAATTGAGTCTTTTTCTTGGTCCTAAACATTTGCTTCTTTAGTGGTATATGGCCAGAGAATATGCAAGGACAAAGAACTCTCTGGATAGATGACTCCTGACACTACCTCAGGGGCTTGATGTAGGCTGACCTCTGAGTAAGCAATTTTACCATTTTGCTCTTGTCTTCTAATGCTACATAAAAACCACCCCAAACTTAGATGATACAAATTGTTATTATCTGTTACCCACAGATTGGCCTGAGCTGAGCTAACCTGAGAGACCTCCTCTGGGTCTCTCATACACTTGTAGTCAGATAGTAGCTGGTTATGGAGTCATCTGAAGGTCTCTTTCCTTGCATTACTGGAGCCTAAGTTTGAATGAGTAGAACATCAGAGGGCTGGGTGGGCTGCAATCCGTGTAGCTTCTCCATCTGGCTGGCTTGGACTTTGTCACAGTCTGGTGGTCTCAGAGTAATTGGCAATCATGGGCTGGGGCCAGCTTGTACCATTTTGTAAGAGCTGACCCTGTGTATCTCTTCCCAGCTCTGTGTTCAGTGCTGTCATTTTGGTAGCTTGAAATCCCATGGTGGGAGTATTACATCATGATAATTGGCAAACACTACAAATAAGGGTTCTTTTTGTTTCCCTAGACAGCCAGTTAAGCAGCACATGACTTTACAGGGTGGTTGGCTTCCCTCAGAGTGAGTGGGCCAAGAAACCCAGGAGTAAGCTGCAAACCTTCTTAGAACCTAGCCGTGATTGTCCAAAAATGTTCTCTGCTTCTTGTTCTATTGGTCAGGCAAGTCCCTAAAGCTAGTCCAGATTTAAGAGGTAGAGAATTTGCATTAATCTGCCAATTGTATAGTATAGGACCCAGCACAGAGTGGGCACTCAATAAATCATTGATAAGTGAATAAGTAAAGTTATTTTAAACACTAATCTGTATGTCCTTAAGTTACTCTAAAAGTATAAAGCCTCTGGGAAGTTTTACTTCAACATCAGAGAGAACAATGATTTTAAATCTCCAAGGAGCCTAAATCTAAAACCACTTGATACACATATATTTACATTCTGCCTGCAGGTATTCACAGACCTGTTTACTCAGACCCCTCCTAGTTATGTACTTGATTGGTACTGTACACATTACAATCACAGATGGCTTGTTTTATAGATGTTTTTAAGCTATTTAGTTTGGCTTTATCACCCTAAGTAAACTGCATGTTCCTTAAAGAGCTCTCGTGTATTTCTTTACCACTCCTCTTTCTTACCGTGCCAAATACAGATAATTATACACACATACACATGAATTCTTACAAGATATGTGAAGGCTAGAGATTATAAGCCTTAAAAGGGGAGGAAAGAAGAAAAGGAACTAAAGATTCTTAATTGCTATGTTTTAGAGCCTTCAATAAATGTTCTCATTTAACTCTTCTATTTACCTAGTGAGGTAGGTACCATTTCCATTTCATAGTTGAAGAAAATAAGTCTCAGGAAGGCTTAGCCATTTGGTCAAGGTCACACTAGGAAATGGAGGAGCTGGGATTCAAATGAAGTCCTAAGTGGTTCTAAGGTCTGAGCTTTCTGCATTCTTCAGGCGGTCTTCCCACCACAATCTACATCTCCCATCCTCCCCCATTCTGGCCGCCCTTCATGAAGTATCTATAAGAGTCACAAAAATGCTAATGCTTCTGAACCCCAAATAGGGTAATAATGGTTTCAAGTTCTGGTCTGGTAAAAATGTCCTTTAAAAGCTTGAGAAAACAATAAGCTTAAAACATCTTCTACTAGGAGACACGTGAGCCTGGGATCAGGGAGACCAGCTAAGATGCTTTTGCAATAACTCAGGCAAAGAGTGTTGGTAGGCTGCACCAAGTAGTAGTGAGATGAGAAAGATGTGCAGGGATATTAAGAAGACAGAATCAGCAGACTGGTGATTGACTGTACAGTGTGAGTGCTGATCAATTATTTTAGCACCACCATTCTATTCTGGCTGCTGTTGGGAAGGTAAGACTGGAGAGAGGAAACCCAGATGGAAGGTTTCAGTGTTTCTGGAAGAAGACGATGAGGGTTTAGACTAAGACAATGTCCATGCATGTAGGAGAACTGGAATGAATTGGAGCAATAATACAGAGTTTGAAATTGCTGGGTGTGTTGCCAAACTAGATGAGAAAATGTGAGGAAGAAGAAGGGTCAAGGGTGAAATCCAGAAACTTGTCATGGACCAGGTACTTTTCACTGAGCTACAGGACACAGAAGGGGGAGCAGGTTCCAGGTGAGGATGAATTCTGGACATAGTTTGAGGCAAATGTGTAACCAGGCACTGGTAGCCAGTATGCAATTGCACTTAAAACAAAACAAACATCTCTTATCTAAATGACATTCTTTGCTCCCTTAATAGGTTATATATAGGTGATTGAGCCAAATACTATATGTGGCCAGGTTCTGTGTCAAGAAATAAAAGGCTCTGCAATTCTCAATGTTTTCACTTGACAGTGGTTCAACTCTCTCCCCAAAAGCCATTTATCATCCTGTAGGCACATCTGTCATAACCAAGATGTCTTTATTGAGCCTTCCAAAGCTAATAAGAGCTGTATGATTCAATCAGTGACAGGGACTCATATAACTCATAGAAAATGTTGCAGGGAGATTTCAGTGGTCTCTGGATTCACAGGGTCTGCCTGCACCAAAAAAAAAAAAAAAAAAATCTCATGCACATTTTCTTGGAAGAGCTCATATGGGCAGGCACTAAGGTGTGTTTGTACACTTCTGCCCCACACGCAGCAGCAGGCAGCACAGCCACTGTTTACACAAAGTAGCTGCATGTCAGGACAGGGACCTGGGCCCCTTTGTCTCCTGCCACACTCCTGAGGAAGAAGGGAGGCAGTCAAGCGAGCTAAAAAGCAAATCAAAGCTCTCCAGAGAGCTGCTTTTCTGCACTCCAACTGTTACAAGATTTGACTCTTCAGAGAGTCTACCAGAACACAAAGCCAGTAAGTTAGGAAGGCAAAGGAGGTACGGATGGCCCTAGCCCATCGGATGCCATTTATAGCTGCTTCACCAATGTGCTTGTTACGCAACTGTTAGAATAGGCACCTAACACCAAGCCCGGATTAGATTACCATGCCCACCACTGCAGCTCAGAGCTGAGTTTGTCCAGCCAGGGGTCGGCCACCCAACCAGATGAGGACCCGCTGCCGTGGAACCAGCCATCTTCCCAACCCGATCGAGTATCTCTTGATCTAACTCCAGCTCTACCCAGAGATGCCGTCCAAAGTCCCCCTCAAATCAAGATTCCCTGGAGTGAAATCCACTAAATAAGAGTATCCTTACCTGAGAGAAGGTCCTGGTGGCCAGCAGTGGAAAAAACACTAAGTTCTAACAGAAGTGACAGGGGACTCTCGGGGCAAACCTGTTCAGTTTTAAAAGAAGAAAGGTGACTTCATCCCTGGTGCCGTGGAGTTTAAAAAGAGCAACGAGTGCTCCCTGGCTGCGCCAACTCTGCCTCGTCAGTGATGACTGCATCCAAATCATGCAGCCATTGCCCAGACATGCTCAGCCTGCGGAAGGGTGAGCCGCTGGAATCCAACTAGCCCTGTCATTTTCAAAGAGCTTAGCAAAGTCCTAAAGCACCAATTCCCTTAACTGGCACCAGAGAGGGAAAAACTATGCACTTATTTCTTTGAGTCATATCATTATCTCCCAAGAATCCAACTCTCTGAAAAACAGCACTCTAAGAAAGGAAAATAAGTATTTAGACTTCTGACAGGTAAAAATTTGGGGGGGGGGGAGGAAGAAGAAGTGAAGATATTTCAGTGGGGAGGAGGAGCAGTAAGAAGCTGGAAATGATAAGAAGTTTTCAAAACGGGTAGACTTGTAAGCATACAAAGGTGACACATAGGTGACTGTCAAGAATTTGCAGATGGAAAAGTATTCACTTCAGCAAAGGCGGTGAGTCATTATGTAGGAAATAAAGTGTGACAGCCTTTCTAAT